GGGCGGCGTAGGAACGATGTAAAAAATAAAATTGGGGGCACCCCCAAATCTTGGTGCCCTAGGCAACCGCCTAGTTTGCCTAAATGCTAGCACTGGCCCTGAACACCAGGTCAGCTCCCCATGGCAGAAGCAACAGTAGGAGCACTAGTGCAAAGCAGCCACCTGCATTTTAGCTACTACAATGAACAAGACTAGACAACATGTTGGTTAAAATGCAACAGCTGACAGCATCTTTTCTGCAATAGCGTTCTCGCTATTGCTTCCACATGTGGAGCTGTACCAGCACAGAATGATGGAAATGTTTTTGAAGGGAAGCCAGAGCAGAGATTGCAGTTATTCTAACTGGGACTAGCAGACACTATAATTATCAATGCTGCAAAACATTTTCCACTATAAACCCTGTTTTTCCCATACTTACAACTTCATAAAAATATTCACTGAAGTTTTCTGTGCTTGGTCTCTACCCAAAGGAAATTTGCTGAAAAGTGGCCAGGGTCTCTTCAGCAGTATGAGATATGGTAGAGACAAAAATCACTTTTCCCATTGTAATACCACCTTAAAATAATACATAAAAGCTACAGCAAAAACAGGCTCAATTTGAAACTTGGCATAGATGTGGTTCTTGCTGAGAACGAGAGCCTCTGCTTGGTTTGAAAAATATTTTTGATTTAACAAAAGTTGTTGGAAATTATTTTACTAAGAATGCTCAGAAGCAAAATGTTGTGAAGTTCATAGGTACCCTTGGGCCTTGTCTTACACCTAAGCCAACTCTACACTAGACTTTTGTCGACAGCTACGTTGTTCAGAATGTGATCCCAGACAGACCCTAGAGTAGGCACAGTATGCCAACAAAAGCAGCTTATTTCACTCGGGGGGTGGGAGGGAGACTAGATAACCTGCCAAAGGCACAGTTTTGCCAGTATAAGCTGCATCCACCCTAGGGGCACTTTGATGGTATAGTCTACTGGTATACCTGCACACTACTAGTGTAGACCAGGCCTTAGTTTTGAAACCAATATAATAAAACTGGTACAACCCCCTAAGGTGGACACTGCTTTATGTAAGGAGGTTTATACCCGTATAACAGTTTCCACCCTAGGGAGCTGCTTTATATCACTTTCTAAACTATGTACAGACCAACTCCTAAATTAAGAAATGAGGTGCTTTTTAAAATCGACTTAGGTAACTTGTCTTATCTAACATGATTTCAAACACCATTTAGCATCCAGTGCAGACACAGCTTAAATCTTCACAATCATGTTAGCTAGTCCTGTCATAACCTAGAAAGTAGCCTAAAGTCCTGTTCTTGACAGGCAAAAAAGGTGTGTTTTTTTAATCGAATTAAGGTAACACAACTGAAAAGCTCCATTAAGATAGTCGATGTATGTTTGAAGCCATGTTAGCTGGCTGTGCTTTAGCCTAGTCTCTCCCCTAACCTAAAACGTGGGAGGCTAATTCAGACCTGTTAGCCTGCATCGTAAGCCATGCCTGCACTAGAAAAGAGGTGTAGTTTTTAAAAGGTATTAAGAAATCCTACTGTAAATATGGCAAGTTGTAGTTTTAATTCATGTTTGCTAGTCAAAATAAACATCAAGTTGTCAATAATAATGCAGAAGTGTACTATAAATATAATTCTGATCTGTATTTGGGAACAAGCCAGATGATATATACATAATCATAATGATGAAATACTTTCTGTTCCAACAGTAACTAAGGAGGATGTTAATCAGCAGCTACTAAAGTTAATATTTTTTATATCAGCATGTCCGGATAACTTACTTCCAAGAGTTTTAAAAGAACTGGCTGAGGAGCTTGCTGGACTTTTAATGTCAATTTTTAAAATATGTCTTGGAGCACTGGAGAAATTCCATCAGACTGGAAGAAAGCTAATGTTGTGCCAATATTTAAGAAGGGTAAAACAGGATGATATAGTTGTGACAGTGCACTCTATATGATTTTATGAAAGTATGCTGATGAGTGTGAACATAATGTAACTAAAATATGCTTCATGCAAAAGGTCTCTTGTAAGGTATCATTACAGAGCTTATAATCTACGGAGGGTGGTCTTCCTATTTGCATAAATGTATCACTCTTGTACCTGAAACTAGAAATATGAAATATAACTCTGAGGGCCTATTGTAATTATGCAAAGTGTGGGCAATTAATGGTGGTTTGGAATCTTGATGGCTCCCATTAACCAGGACAATTGACTGTAGATGGCTCTGTTTTACTTGTAAGTCTTCCTGTATACGGGTGTGCTGGCAAGTGGGTAATGAAGTCTTACAGT